CATGTGATTGTTCTTTGTGTCTTCCTTGTAAGCATCCTTGTCAGCAACTAATTTATTCACAACATTACTCCCTCCCAGTGAAGCAACCTTGTCCTCAAGGTTGAAGGTAGAAGGATCCTCAGAAGCATCAGAATCCATTAACCGCAAGGGAGTAATCTGCTGGGCAGGATCGCCAACACACCTTTTTAACATAGAGACATGAAAAACAGAGTGTATCTTGGCAGCTTCAGGGAGTTCCAGTCTATAACCAACAACACCAATACGTTTCAGCACCTTATAAGGTCCAAAATATCGCCTACCCAACTTATGATCACGCTGCAAACGTAAAGTAGCCTGTCTATAAGGCTTAAGTTTGACAAACACCCAATCGCCTACATCAAAGGATACATCAGTGCGCGACTTGTCCGCCAAAGTTTTCATACGATGTTGAGCCTTCAATAAGTTGTTCTTCAATATTTGAAGGACCTCATCTCGTCGAAGCAAGTAAGACTCCACCATATCGCTAGCAGTACTCCCCAGTATATACCTAGTAATGGTGGGTGGTTCACGCCCATATAAAGCCTGAAAAGGGGTCATACCTGTAGAAGTTTGGTAAGAAGTATTATACCAGTACTCAGCCCAATGTAGCATAGCCACCCACTGAGAAGGCACCTCAGCCACATAGCACCGTAAGTATTATTCCACACATTTATTGAGAGCCTCCGACTGCCCATCCGTTTGTGGGTGGTAGGCAGTGCTCATAGCCAAAGTTGACCCTTGTAGCCGATTGATCTCTTGCCAGAATGAGTGGAGAAAACGAGGATCACGGTCAGTCAGAATAGTGCGAGGAGGGCCGTTGAGTCTGATGATCCCCACCACAAAAGCTTCAGCAACAGTATGAGTTGAAAAGGTGGAGGGAAGTGGTATAAAATGGCCATACTTGGTGAGTCGGTCCACCACAGTCATAATAGTGGTCTTTCCTTTGGAACTGGGAAGACAAGTTATGAAATCCATCGCAATATCTTCAAAGACCGGGTCCGGAATACGTAAAGGCTGAAGTAGACCCGCTGGATGCAAATGTGAATCCTTCATCTGTTGGCATATCTGACAAGCTGCTACAAATGCCTGGATATCCTTGCGCATCTGCTTCCAAAAGAAATTAGAAGCCAATCGATGATAGGTTCACGCAATTCCTGCATGGCCACCAATCGAAACATTAACTTCTGTCGAAGTTCAGAATCCGATGGCAACACAAGTCTTCCTTTGTAGAATAACAAGCCATCCTTGAAATGGTAAGTGTTATGTGTCAACTCTCCCTAGCTTAGTGCTTGTTGAATCTTCAGCAATTTAGGATGGTTCTTATTCAAGTGTTTCAATTCTTGTTCAAGTGTGAAGGTATTGACTGAAATGACCAACAAGGTAGCATCTGTGTGACGCGAAAGTGCATCGGCTGCAGAATTATGCTTCCCAGGTCGGTATACAATACGGAAGTCATAGCCCACTAGCTTTGTAAGCCATTTTTGTTGTTCTGGTGTTTGTATAGTTTGCGTAGTTAGGTTCCTTAGTAACTTCTGATCTGTGAAGATGGTAAATTGATGCCCCAATAGACACTGCCTCCACTTACTCACAGCCTGAGTAATAGCAAACATCTCTCTATGATATGTTGAAGCTTTTTGCATCTGTGGACTTAGCTTTTGACTGAAATACGCAATGGGATGACCTCTTTGTGATAAAATAGCACCAATTCCATGCCCCTATGCATCTGTTTCTACATGAAACTCCTGGCTGAAATCCGGCAAGGTTAGGACAGGTGTGGATCCCAATTTATCCTTTAGAGAATCAAATGCTTGCTGCTCTATATCAGTCCATCTGAAAGCATCTTTGCGCAACAAATCAGATAAAGGCCCAGCTATAGCAGCGTAGTGGTGAATGAAACGCCGGTAATAGCCAGCAAGCCCAAGAAAAATATGAACTTCCCTCACCGAGCGAGGAGGAGGCCATTGCTGAATTGCTTTGATTTTAACAGGGTCTACAGCTAGACCTTGTGCAGACAGAATGTGACCCAAATATTCACTGAAGTCTGTCCAAACAAACACTTGGACTGTTTGGCTACAAGCTGGTGTTGGCGTAGTAGCTGTAATACAATAGCTAGATGTTCCAAGTGGTCACCCCAAGAATGGCTGTAAACTAAGATGTCGTCGAAGAATACCAGCACAAAGCGACGCAAATAGGGACGGAATACCTCATTAATAGTAGCTTGGAAGGTGGAAGGTGCGTTGGTTAGTCCGAAAGGCATTACTAAAAATTCGTAGTGCCCATCATGGGTGCGGAAAGCCGTCTTAGCCACATCTTCGGCCCTGACCCTGATTTGATGGTATCCTGATAAGAGATCTAATTTGGAGAAATAGTGGGCACCATGTAATTCATCAAACAATTCATCAATAGTTGAAATTGGGAAACGATCTCGTATAGTGATAGCATTCAAAGCACGATAATCAACACAAAATCTCCACGTGCCATCTTTCTTGCGGACCAATAACACCGGCGAAGAGAAAGGGCTAATGCTAGGCCTGATAAACTCCTTCCTTGAGCATCTCAGCGACTAATTGCTCCATAACTTGCTTTTGAAAATAGGGGTACCTGTAGGGCTTCAGATTCACAGGTTGTGCCCTGGGGTGAAGGTGTATGCTATGGTCCTGCTCACGCGATGGTGGTAAGCCTGTTGGCTACTGAAACACATCAGCATAATCGCCCAGGAGACCTACTAAATCAGCAGTGGATGCCCCGACACAAGGAATTTCTTCTGTAACCCTCTCAAGACGAAAGAAAGAGGCAATAGCATCTGTGACCGCCATACGCCTCAAACTATGCAATTGTATCGGTTGGGCATCTGTTGGACAATCCCCCTGCCAAGTTCTGGTGGTTCTATCCATGGTAAATTCGAATATGCGATGGTGGTTCTATCCATGGTAAATTCGAATATCCTCATCGCATAATCAGCTAGGACTGGCCCTAGAGAGGCTAGCCATGCCACTCCCAATACAACATCAGCTCCATGGAAAGGCAAAACATAAAAATCCTCCACCAAGGTACTCCCCTAATTTTCAAGTGAGTATTGTCGCACCACCCCCTCAGAGCGGAGTCGTTGTCCACTTCCGACCATGACAGAAATTGGACGGATAGACTCAACAGGGAGTCGGAGATGTTTAGCAGCTCGAGTCTGGACAAAAATATGGGTACTACCTCCATCGACCAACACTTGCACCGGAGAACCATTAACCTGACCAGTGAATTGCAGAGTGGATGGGGAGATTCCTCCAGTTAGTGCATGATACGAAATAGACGAATGCTCTTGCAATTCTAAGCATTGTAGCTCCTCTGCCAAAAGATCATCAAAAACGAAAGAATCCTGGTGATTAGGATCATTTTCGTGCTCATTAGTGAGTAAGAGAAGTTGGGGTGGGTTCTTGCATTTGTGGCCAGCCGTGTATTTTTCTTCGCAATAATAATACAACCCCTGTTCCCGGCGACTCTGCATCTCGGCATGAGATAAGCGTTTGAGGGGTGGGCGATTTGGTGCATTAGGGGTAGTTGAGACGAGAGGATTTGAGGGCCTTAGGGTGAGGGGTGCTGAATTAAGGGTTGGTAACAGGGATGGAGTTTTGGCAAAAGCGGGTCGGACCGGACCTTTTTCAGCAAGTATCCGCCGCTCGTGGATATGGGCTAAGTCAAGAGTTTCTTCATAACTTTTGGGCTTATGGACCAAAACCGAATTCTTAATATCCTCACGAAGCCCAGAAATAAAGAGACGTACCATTCTGCTATTAGTCATGTCATCAGTTTCGTTTGCAAGTGTCTCAAATCTCGCCTGAAAATCAGCGACGGTGGTTGTCTGCCGGAGTTTTGCAAGTCGGCCCTCTGCAGACTCCAGTCCCTTCTGGTAATAGCGGGTTCGCACCTTCGCAGCAAAATGCTCCCAGTCAACGAGTTGCTTGTTCTGAAACAACCATCGATACCATTCCAACGCATCACCGTCGAGATAAAACGATGCGATTGTTTGACGTTGGTTCTCTGCTATTTTGTAAAAGTCGAAGTATCTCTCCGCTTGAAAGATCCAAGCCTCTGGGTTTTCCCCATGAAAACGTCCTATATCCACCGATGCCGGTTTATGACGAAGATGGGGAGCAGTTGTGCCATGGTCATCGGAGAGATCAATTTTTCGTCCCACCACCTCCATTAACAGAGACCGAATGTCCTCCAATTCCTTAGCAAAAGATCTCGTTGCCACCTTAACAGATTCATCCACAATAGACTTGAGTTTGTGGTCATCCATGGAAGACCTCTGGATGAAAGCACCAATGTAACAATAACCAAAATCTCCAGTAGTATTAATAGAACTGAACTCAATTACAGTCACAATCCATAGGAATAACTCTCAAGCTACTACTATCAATGAAAATACTGAAAACATGAAATTAAGATTGGATAGGATAACAGAAAGGGGATGGGAAATTAGAAGAAATAGAAGAGAATGTTGACATCCTTCATAACAATATTTGCCTGCCTCTGCAATCTGACTCTCACTATGCTTTATATTCTTTTGCGTAACTAACTATGTGCATCTTCACATGAATTTCCACCCCCACTCCAAACGTAATCGCCTAGCCTTTTTGGAGGAATGATTCTTCTAGAACCCTTACGTGGCAACCCCATGTGATTGTCCTTTGTGTCTTCCTTGTAAGCATCCTTGTCAGCAACTAATTTATTCACAACAACCGGTATATTACACTGGAATTCCAATATATTATACTGGAGTATTTTTCCGGATTTTGAACAGTGTTTTCGTTCAGATTTTGGAAAATGACTAAATTTAGATTACTTTTGATACTGTGGCTAATTTTGAATGACCACTTGTAAATCTCATTATTTTTTTATTTCTTCCAAATTTAATGGCAAGCAATTTAGCAATGTATTAATGACCAAGTTAGTAACTAAGTCCAATATTTTTCCATAATGTTTGTTGTCAGAAGTATGGGTCTTAATTTTGCGCGTACACTTAAACTAGGTGACTCAAATTCCTCATCAGCCGCGGACTAAACAACAACCTAATTGGTATCGGAGTCGTAAATCCTAATCTCTTATCCGTTCTTGTTTGGATTCGTTGTCAATGTCAGCTTTGGATTTGGAGCGGAAGGCAAAGAGAAACAAGCAAATTGACTCAAATTCCTCATCACAACAACCTAATTGGTATGTAAGTCGTAAAACCTAATTCTTATCCGTTTTGGTTTGGATTCGTTTTCAATATCAGTTTTGGATTTGGAGTGGAAGGCAAAAACTTAGTATATATATAAAAAGCTCTCCCCTCTTGTTTTTCCAGCCCTGATTCCATTGCTCAAACCATTAGCTATCCGATGGATCGGCCAACGGCAAGACGTCTTCCCGATGAAATGGTGTTTCGCATATTGAGCTTCTTGCCGGAGAAGCCTTTGGGGAGGTTCAGATGTGTATGCAAACTTTGGAATACCTTATTTATAGACCCTAAATTCAGGGCCCTTTATTGCGAAAATTACTCTTCTCTTCTTTTGATGTCCTACAATCAGTTGATGCAGATTAGGCACAACTTCTGTAGCAAAGCTGAGAGCAGCGACGGATTAATTCTTGAACAAACTGTACCTTCTGTTTCTCCTTCTAGATGCCGCATAAGATGCCCTCTATCACTCCAATCTATTGAATTTCCCGGCCCACAGAAGCCCAGTTTGTGCTTCGCGATCGAGTTCCTTCCATCTATCCGAGCTGTCGAGTTGGTTTCTGTTCATGAAGATGAAAATCAAGTGCTGGGTTATGAAGTTCTTCATATTGGGCCCATTGAAAATATTACTCCCACTACTAAGTATTCTTGGCGAGCCCTTCAGGTACCTAACAACAACAGCAACAACCAATTTAGGAAGAGAATGAGAAGTATGAGTTTGCACTATAGGCTGAACCGCTACCTTGACAGGTCTGCAGCGTGAAACGGGTTTTTTCTTTTCTTAAAAAGGGGAGTTGCTTATTGTATTTGGGCCGCTGAAAACAATCTTGATATACATGTTGATGTTTTGGATACAGTGAATGAGAGCTACATTGGTCATACTACTCTTCCTGCCGGAACTTTCATCTCAGATCGGTTGAACGATATTCAACTCTTAGATTGGAACGGCAAGCTCTCATTCGCTGAAGTGGTTAATGACGAGCTCCATATCTTGGTGTTTGACTATAACAAAAAGCAGCATCAGATAAAATGGACTAGACAAATGATCAAGCTCATGACAACCTTAAAAGATGTTACTTGTTTTGTTGTTGATAAATCTGCATTGTTTTTCTCGAATACACGGGGTCCCAAGGAATACGATCTCTGCAGCATTGATGTTAACACGGGGAATGTGACAACTATACAGTCCTTCACTTCCGAGCTTAATGCAGTTTGGTGCAACTGGATTTTTTCCTCCAGAGCTTCGTTCTGAAGGTTTTCTTGTTTTCCTTCGAATCTTAGTTTTAATCTTCTTTGTCTTTTCCTTTGTGATTATGAAACTCATTGGTTTCTAATTTTATCGAAATGGCTGATGTCTTAGTAGTACAGTATTAGTGATCATTATCTGGTGCCATGGCAAATTTACGAGTTTAACGTTAGTCTTTCCTCTTTCTATAGGGAGCATCAACCACCTGTTATCTTGCATGTAAGTGGTGAATATTTTCTGGACAACAATTTGCCACACCAACAGGCGATGGCTAAGGACATGGATTCGGCTAAGAAATTCTGGAAGTTTAGTATGGATTTGGTCAAGTAAACATCTAACATGTAGCAGTACAACAGATAAGTAACTTTGTATTTGTTATTTTTTTATCCAACCCGGCCTATGTACACCCCTACCAAAGGGTATCCAAAAGGATTTAAGTTATATCCATGTATGTGTAATAAAACATTTTAGACTATCAGCTTAACTAAATCTGTTTTCTAAAAGATTGCTTGTTATTTATTAAATGTTACTTAATTAATATTGTTATCAAATAAAATTACCTCTAGTTCAAAAATTACTATTATGATGAAGACCTAAAGTGCATTTGACATTTCAGAATCACAGATTTGTGCGTATCATTCTAAAATATCCTTCAAAAGTATCAGATACAGATTACTATTTGAGAATCAAAGCAAAATATCTATGTCGTTACCCAGTGATCAATAAATAATGAAACAAACTGATCATCGCTCTTATCTAATCTTAATTATATTATGACATTGGATCAGCATTGAGCCATCCGCTGGCACATGGAGGTATGCTCATAAACTCATCAAGTTCCTTAACATGTACTATGTAATGTCACAGCAATTCCACTGCGAAATCCAAGAAAGAGCATGAGCTTCAAGGAATGGTTCTATAAAGAAGAAAGACATTGCAATGCAAAACATTCCAAAATAAAGCTTGCCAATTGGAAACATATAAACTACAAAATGAGAAGGAACGATAAATGAGCCTTATAATTTATATATTAACTCACCCCTCTCATCCAGCAGGGCCAGGATGGTAACTGCAACCTATGTCATGATTTTCTTTTTCAGTAAAGGTTACCGCAGCCCTTATTTTTACAAACCTGGTTTATATATATCTACTTTCTTCTTCACTGGAACTGGATGTCTCCCCTGTTTTACTCTCAGACGATATGGCTGATGCCCTACGTGATGCTTTTATATCTGCAACCTTAAAGCAATAACAACAATATCGATCAAATTTCAGGTTAAAGGCTAATAACCATTCCTTATCATGGAAGTGGAGCAAAAAAGCATCTCAACTGAATTTGTTATATATACATGTATATATATAGAAGATGGAAGAGTACCATGATCAGAACAAAAGAATCCTTCTAGCACATGCTTCTTTAGATGATAAATTGGTCATAGAAGCTGGTTTGGGAATTGGTCTTTTTGGACTAGCAGCTGGCTTTGTTAGCACTGGTTTTTTCTGTCGTGTGTGTTTCCTGTCCTACAACTGAAAAAACACCTAAAATTACACCGATGATGGAAAAAATTACATTATTAGTGCATATACCTTAAATCTTTAAGTTACATTGATTTTTCAGCTTTCAGGAAATGAATTTTTACGAAAATACCATGCCAAATTCACTGTTTACTTTTTCTAATTCGGTGTACATAAGCTATACACGAATTATCTATATATATATATATATATATAAATATATATATATATATATATATAAATATATATATATATATATATATTGATAAGATAATGTAAATATCATTAATAATGTACCAAGAAGGTACTGAAAGCATACAAAACTACAGCACAGCTCAAATTGTTACAATCTCAAAACTTCTGTAACATCCATGTACTGATCTTGGTCTTCTGCCAAACTTCCCCTGCACCAAAAGTGAAGGTTATGAAGACAACTATTTACTATTATTAACACTAGCTAAATGATTCTTCTTATTTACAAAACATCTATTATTTCTTTCCAACCAAATGGTCCAAAAGATGCAAAGAGGTATGGTCTTCCAGATTTGCTTTAGTTTTTCCCGACTTTCTGATTCTGCCAACAAACCAGTAGATGCTTCACATTCTTTGGCATCACCCCTTGCACGCTCAGCCAGGAACAGATCCCATATCTTTGTGTAACTGCAATGCAAAAAGAGATGTTCTGCAGATCCCTGGGAATTTTCACAGAAAAAGCATGTACTGCACAAAGGAGTTCCGATTCTCTGCAACATATCTTGAGTTAAACATGCATTTCTAGCTGCAGTCCAGCCAAAACAAGCTACTGAGGTGCTTGTGATTTCCATAACATCTTCCATGGCCTAGTCAAATCCCAGTGACCTATTTGTTTTTGCAAAAGACTATAGCAACTGTTTACTGAAAATTTGCCATCATTCCCAGCTGCCCAAATCTGAGTGTCTAACCTACTGGCATCTAGGGACAAAGGTTCCAACCAATGTAAAAGTTGACCAATTTCATCAACTCCCCAATCATTAAAGTCTCTCCTGAAATTGATTCTCCATTCTTACCCTTTATGATACTCTGCTACTGTACACTGTTTATTCCTGGTTAAACTATAGAATGTAGGAAATTTGTTCATCAATTTATCATCACCTAGCCAGACATCTGTCCAGAACCTGATTCCGCTTCCATTTCCAACTTTTAATGAAATGAATTTCTGAAGTTCAGGCCATAATCTACTTATTTGCTTCCATACTCCAGTTTTTGAAGGCATGGTGATACACCCTTTATATGAAACATCGAAACCAGTAGATGCTTCCAAAAAGAATGTAATCCTGACTTCCACAGAGGAAGTAAAAGGGAAAAAGAAGGACCTGCAAACAGAAGAATCGCATTACTATACCATAGGTACTGGGATTCTTTTATCACAACTAATTCTATCATCATTGATCCAAGAGTTGTGTGCCCAAGTTTCCGTTCACCATGGCAAGCGATATGACTTGCCACATTGTAAGGAGAAAAGCATAAAGAAGGCTCTGTTAGTGCTTTAAGCGCAAATCCAATTGAAGTGCAGACTTTAGTAAAGAAGGGTGCAAATAAAGAATAATTCAAAATATACAAGTATTGGGTGGTTAAAATGGGTCTAGCGTTTTGGTGATAAAAGTAGATGCTTTACTAAATCCATTCTACTGCCTGCTCTTTAAATAATAGGCCGGTTCGTCTCGTTCCATGTTGAGTCTGATATGCTGTATATCTTGTTACATTAGCTGGGTCAGGAGCTTCTCTGAAGCTTCCGTGTGCTGGCTGTATAACAATTCTGGATACACAGTTAACGTATCTCTACTTTTTCTTTAAGCATTTGGGCTGCTTGACATCCACGAGCATGTTTGTCCAATTTTATACACTTATTGGGCCAGACAGTTATAATATATAATTAAGACTTCAAAACTTTTGATTGGGGCATCGTATTTTGCTTTGTAAAGTTATCCAGGTGTTTTGTCAGCACTTATCAAACAAAGAAAAAGGAATGCAGAAAAGGATAATAGAATTTCTTGCTGTTTTGTCTGTTCTATTTGCAATTTATTAAGAACGTCCTTCATGGACGTCCATGAGAACGTCCTTCATGGGCGTCCATAAGAAGTGCTGGATAAGGAGACATCTCTGATGTGTGGGGGAACCTGCTAGCAGTTGTCAATTAATGACATTTCATTCTTGAAATGTGTTAATATCGAACATGCTAGCAGTTGTCAATTAATGACATTTCATTCTTGAAATGTGTTAATATCTTTGAGTGCCACTGGCTAAAATCGAGATCAGTGGAAAGTTTTGTTCAAAAGTAAAATTGACCCCTTGACACTGCAATTTGCACTAATCTTCATTTGGTTTTATCTTTATTATCATTGTATTCAGTGCGACTACCATTTGGCTGCGGTTATAAGGTTTCATCTTCCATTACAGACATTAGTGTCTTCCTCTTATCACTGACAGCTCCCAATTTCCTGCTTTATATATATGCTTTTATTCCTTTTATGCCGTTAACAATGATCTTAACGGTTCTTCAAATTTCAGGGTCCTCTCTTTCAGCAGCGCCCATACCCATCTCCTGGAGCAGTCTTGCGTAGAAATGCTGAAGTTGCTTCTCAAAAGAAAAATCCTAAATCGCATCTTACCCCTATATCTAAGAGAGGTGATGGTAAGGATGGACTGGGTGACGCTGATTGAAGATTTTAAGCCTTTGTGTCATATTATTTGCTGGAAGTGAGTATTCCTGTGCGAAATTCTTGTCATTGTCAGTTTGAACTCGATTTCTGCATATTTTAACTGTCAAATCATTTTTTCTGTTTCAAGTAGGATTCTCAGAGAGGGAGTTTTTCCAATTGAAGTTGCTAGACAAGAAAGTCCTAAACATTATTACATACATTCTATCGTAGAGACAGGCGTGGATGAATTTTCTTCTTGAGATCTCTGACATATGGATTTAGTAGGTTTTTTAACTGCCGAGAGAGTCATAAAAAGTGCCAATAGGCGTGTAGAACAAAAGAAATTGCAGCTGAAACGCTAGTGTGTATTCTTTTTATTTTTTATTTTTTATAAGAGACTTCCAAAACTTTAGAAACAGGGATTATCTTAGGAGCATAGACCAGCCAATGTGTAGAAGCTGTTAGTTGTAACCCTATATGTGTTTGGAATGCGGTTTTTGTTACGAGAGAATGAGTAGTAGAGAAAGACATGTCATGAAAAGGAGCCAACTTGAAGTCTCTACTAAAGTCTGCACACTGCTGCAATCAGGAAGTTAAACACTTTGATCCTACCGAATTTTTTCTTCTTATCTTATTCGTGTCACTACATTCTTCTAAAAAGTGCAGCTTTCATTTAACATTTGATTTATACATCTTGGGAAACCACTCTCTTTTGGCATTTTTGGACAACCAAAAAGTAGTTTGCAAGCGTCACATATTCCTTTATTTAACATTCTGTATGTTTTAATGGATTGGCTTACTAGAATGAGTATTACGGTAAGAGTTGAATACGTTTAACACATTTGAATATCAGGGAGGGAAAATGAACTTTCTAGTTTTTGATAGGCTTAAATGCACAGTATTACCTTCATGCACCTAAAAGCAGAAAGTCGTCCATAACAATGCATTTCACACCACATGAGCTCTTGAGGCTGCAAAGTTGAAAAATAACCCAAAAATCTCAATAATTGCTCAATAATGAAGTCAGAGCGTTATTACTACCTTATCAATAGCATCTCAGGGGTGTAAATCTACAATGGGTATTGACTTTTGGGAAACTACCAGCATGTGTTCATTTGTAAGTAGCTCATTACAAAAGTTAGCCAATTCATAAAATATTACTAATATTAGCCAATTAGCTATTTGTAACAAAAAAGGTCAATTTTTTGCTTTCTTTTGAGTGGGTATTATTAGAATAGGTTGGGTACATCTTAAAAAGCTTGAATCTCAGTTTTGGAATGATTTGGTGAAGTTTTGAAGTGATTTGAATTGAAAATTCGAAGTAAAAACTGAACATGAAAAAAAAATGAAGTTTTGAAGTGATTTGAAGTGAAAATTCGAAGTAAAAACTGAACATGAAAAAAAAAATGACGTGTATCACATTGTGTATCATTTGTGTATCACATATGTATCATATTTGTATCAATAGTGTATCACATTTATGTCCATGTATACATGTGTGTCAGATAGAGTTTTTGACTAATATTGTCCCTTATCTTCGAGGGTAGGTCTATTTTGGTCCCTCAAATATAACTCCGAGCATATATAGTCCCTTAAGTATGCTAAAGTGGAGTACATTTAGTCTCACTGACAGAATATTTTCAATAACTAACGGTGTTAATCAGATCTGATTCATGAAGCAAATCTTCAGCTCTGAAGCAAAACGTTTTCTCTCCTTTTATTAGATAACACAAATTATCACTTTAATTTTTCATTTTTAGATAATGTCTTCTAAAATTTTGACCTTAAAAATATCCCTCTTGTGCCAGTTTTCAATGAGAAAATGATAGTATAGCCGCTGTAAAAAATAATAGCCGAAAAAATGTATAAAATTTGTATATTATTTAGTATATATATACATTCTGTATGTTAATATACAAAATTACATGTTAATATACAAAAATTATACAAATTTTATATACTTTTTCGGCTACCAGATGAAAATATATCATTTCTGGCGCGGGTTAAAAGTAATGATACAATCTGGTTATTCGTTTGGTTCAATAATATGCCTAGTAGTGATCTTGGCTGCTCTATTTTTTATCTTCAAATTTTAACTTTTCTTTTTGGAAAAATCAACAAAAATTTCTAAAAGTAAAAGTTTCAACGTTAAAATCTTAAATTTATCAGCTGTGTACTATTAGTGGGTGTTGGTTTATAAAATATTTTCGATAAGGAAATTAAAAAGACAGTGAGTGCCGAAACCAAGCGCGTTAGTTTTTGAACACATTCTGTCAGTGAGACTAAAGGTGCTCCAGTTTAGCATATTTAAGGGACTAAATATGCTCAAGGTTTTATTTCAGGGACCAAAATAGACCTACCCTCAAAGATAAGGGACAATATTGGCCAAAAACTCGTGCGAGATACATGCTTGATACATGTTTGATACATGTGTCGTAGAAGAATTTCTTGAACTCGATTTAATTACGAATTTTGATACAAAATCAGTCCAAATCACCTTCAATCTTCCTCAAATTTTGTATATTGACTTATCTATATGTTTTCAATGAATTTCAACTATACTCACTGAAAAAGTTTCTTTTTTGCTTAGATTTTTTGAATATTGTATATTTTTTTTATATTTCATCACCTTATTTGCTACCTCATCAATGAAATTTCCTTTCCGTCTTGCATCTAATGTTTCTAATCAGGCTTAAAAATATGGAAGGAGATTTTTGCATGTGATTATTTGAGAGAAAGAACCTTATTTATTTGGGTTTTCAATTTTTTTATGTGCTTGGCTAGTTTTGATATGTCTATAACTAATGGCTAGAGGTTGGTAAGTTGAGACTTATTTGGAACATTTCTGTAAGTTATAGTCAAAAATCTGCAATAGGTATTGTTGGAAACTTATTTTTGCACCAAAATTGGAGTGGTTAGGTAGTCTTCCAAAGTGATTTTCCTTACCGAGCCTCAAAAGAGCTAATTGTAAGTTAGTAACAATTTATGGGCGAAGTTCAGCAATAGCCACTTTTAAGCCCGCTATTTAAAATATATTCACAATTTATCCAAACTTTAGAACACTTAATCCTGAATTTCTCCTATAGGCTGTGATGCAACGTCGCCGCTAGGTAAGCCAACGGGAACTAACCATGAAATTTCTCTTAAATAAATTCCAAAGTAGTTGAGTTTCATTTATTAAGAAAATAAGGAGTAGAAAATCTAATCAAGTAAAGAGAAAGCTAATGAGTGAGCAAATGCAGTGAAATGAATGTTCCAAAACCATAAAGTCTACTAGCATGTGTTCCAAGACCTAGTGTCACAAGTGTATGAGCAACTAGTAGAATATACAAAACTCTAAACTACTGTCTGAAATAGAGTAGACAGAAAATAAATGCAAAAGAGAGACTCCGGGTGCTGCAGGACGGACTCGGAAAGCAGCTCACCACTAAGCCTCGGGGTATCGGGGGTGCGTGCCAGGAATGACTGCAGATGCACCTGCCTCAGATCCTGCACGATTAGTCCAGAAGTGTAGCAAGAGTACATAAACAACATGTACCTAGTAAGTATCCAGTCTAACCTCAAGGGGTCGACAATGACACTTACTATGGGCTAACAATAAAATACAGGAATACTAAATAGGCATAGAATATGTTAATAATAATATTAACACAATAGCAACAGTGATTAAATGATTCTTTAACTAATAGTAAATTTCAAAAGTCTTCCACTAACACATACTAATTCCAATTTTAATTCCGAACTAATAAATAAATTATGACCTCTCTATTCATGAAAATAATATCAAATGTATTCAGGCTCCAAGCATTAACACGCACGATTTATTGCGAGGTCGTATGACCTGATCCAGAATAATGTGTACACTACCGAGGGTCGAGCGGCACGAACCATAGATGCATCTATTATACTGCCGGGGCGTTCCTCCCGCTCCACAAAAAGAGAGAATACTTTATGAACATCCGATTTAAAAGCTATTACAAGGCTAATACACAAAGAAACATAATTCCATAAATGGTCAAATAACCCGCCAAAACTCAAGTAAGTGAACTTCGGTCTTTAAATCCTTTATCAAGTTTCAATATAATTAATGCACTTTCATTAACAAGTAGGGTGCAAACATTACAAGTATTACATGATTTTGGTCCTAAACTACCCGGGCTTAAGCAGAATTAGTAGCTACACGCGGACTCTCGTCACCTCGTGCATACGTAGCCCCCACAATTTGAAGCAAATAGTAATTTAAATCACCTATGGGGTAAACTCCCTCTTACAAGATTAGGCAAGAGACTTACCTCATCTCAAAGCTCACACTTTTCAGCCCACAAATTTACCCTAAGGCCTCAACTTGGTGCCGACCAATCCGAAGCTAGCCAAATGTCATATAAATTATTCGATATACTCTCAAAAGTTAATAATTTAGTTATCAGAGTAATTACCCAACCCAAATTGGAAGATTCCTAAAATTCACCCCCAGGCCCCATACCCGGATACCGGAAATTTTCGAAGATAATTGTTACCCATAACCTCACGAACTCAAATATATAATTTTCACCTAATTCCATAATTATTTTTGTGGTAAAATCACATTTTTATCAAAACCTAGGTTTTTCAACTAAACCCACAATTTCTACACTTCATATGCTAAGAATCTACTCAAAATACATGTATTAAACTTATCTCATATAGAAATCACTTACCTTAAAGTGCTAGGTGGAAAACTCTCTTCAAAGAGCTCCAAAATTGCCCAAGTGATGAAAGAAATGAGCTAAAAATGCCTAAGTCCCAACATTAAATGAACCTCACTGCCCAGCGATTTTCGCACTAGCGATGCCACTGTCGCACCTGCGGCTCCGCTTCTGCGGACAAAACCTCACAGGTGCGGACCAAGCCTAGGTCCTCCTACTTCGCTTCTGCGGACAACGACTTGCTTCTGCGTACGCGTCGCACCTGCGACCTTTCCTGCTTCTGCGATCGCCTGCCTTGTACTTGCGCCTTCGCATGTGCGGTCCCTACCTCGCTTCTGCGATCACTGGGTAGTCCACGCCAGGCCGCTTCTGCAGTCAAAAGCTCGCACCTGCAGCCAAATTCTCGCAGGTGCGGATGCGCCAGAATTGGTGCACCAACAGTTCTCCAAGCCAATTCCGAGTCTGATTTCCAATCCGATCCACACTCGGGCCCCCGAGACCCATCCAATAATACTCAAACTTCCAACAACATAATACTGACCCGCTCGAGCACTTGAAATGCCAAAATAACATCTAGAAGTACGAAGCGGACGCCAAAACGCATGAATCGAATTATGAAACTCAAAAACTTCTAAAAACACTTCCGCGCGTCTGATTCCTACCAAATCAACTCGGAATGACGCTAAATTATGTGTGGAAGTCTTAAATCACCATACAGAGCTATTCCCAGGCCCAGAATCCGAAACAGACCTCAATAACACCAAAACCTACTTCAAACCAAATTTAAAGGACTTTAAAACCTTCAATGCGCTAACATTCAACTTTATGTGTCGAAACGCTCCCGGGTCATCAAAAACCCAATCCGAACATACGCCCAAGTCCAAAATCATCATACAAATCTATTGGGACAATCGAATCCCGGTTCTGAGGTCGTTTACTACAAATGTTGACCCAAGTCAAACTTAACCCTTTTTAGCCCATTATTAAGGAACTAAGTGTTCCAAT